GGCTGGCTTTGATCCGTGATCCTCAGATCTCAGCCTCCTGAGTAGCTAGGATTACAGGCGTGAGCCACCAGCGCCCGGCTCTAAATAAAACCTTTTAACTTTAGCAATTAGTGAACTCAAAGAAGGAGAATAAATGAGAAACTATAGAAACTAAGACAAAAAATTATTCACTTTAAGAGAAGTAATTTTTATATAAAGTTTCTGTATCCAAACTTTAAGATGCATCATAGTAAACTCCTCAGAATGCAAAGACTAAAATCTAATATTTTATATTCTGAGAGCCTAGAGGTTCTAAGGCTGATAAGCTATAAAAAGGGAAGGAGAAAGAACCAAACTCTTAGAATATTCAAATTTAGAGATTCAGGGCTTAGCTCAGGGACAGAGCACTGGCCTTCATGTGGAAGTTATTTTTTGTTTTTAGAGAGCTAGAGGCTGAACCCAGAGCCTTGGAAATGCTAAGCAACCTACTACCAGTGGTTTTTGTTTTTTATTTTTTGTGGGTCGTGGGGCCTGAACTCTGGGCCTGGGCACTGTCCCTAACCTCTTCAGCTCAAGGTGAGCATTCTACCACTTGAGCCACAGAGCCACTTCCTGCTTTTTCTGCTTATGTGGTGCTGAGAAATCAAACCTAGGGCCTCATGCATGCAAGGCAATCACTCTACCACTGAGCCACCTTCCCAGCCCTACAGTGTTTTTTTTACCCCAGTCCAGCACTAGTATTTCAGTCCACTGGAAAATGAGGCTCTTATTCTGTCGAGATGACAGGCATTCGGGTTAGCTGGCAAGCAGACCATCAGGCTGTGGACCTTCCAATCACCTTACCCTGTTAGTGCCTGCTCCCTTGAGGCAAATCTTGCCAATGGAGTTGATGCTCCAGCTCCAAGGATGGAGTTTAAGACTGACTATTATTAGCTAATATTAACTTTATCCAGAGTTTAGCTTTGGTCTTAGAGTAGGGGAATTTGTAAAGAGTTGGGGAATTTGAACCACTCTCTTAAGTGAAATTGACATTAATATTCTGTAACAGGAGACCTGAGTGCAGGGGGAGGTGGTGTCCCCAGCTGTCACCTCCAGATATAACCCCATAGAACAGCCCAGCCTCCCTATTGGTCACACAGCTTCCTCTACTTTCTCCTGAGGGAAGAGACAGAGGCTGGTATCCCAGAGAGATCTGTTTTGCAGGTCTATGAGTTGCTCTAGGTGGGAAGTCTGGCCTTGGCCCCACAGCTACCAAACTACATCTCCTAAAAAGACCTTCAAGGTTTGACCAGAGGGAAATCTGAACCTTGTGTAATCACACCCACTGGGAACAGCTTTCAGTAAGGAAGAAAACTGAGGTGGTTGTTTTCTCCTTTCTGAACTCTGCCACCCTTCATATTTAACCACAATATATTACTAGCAAGCTCATGAGCCTCAGTTCAACAAAGGCTACTGCTTCCTAGGGCTAAGAGAGCAGAAACTACCTGAGGATTGGCCATCTCCTCCTTAGTCAGGATCACCATACTTGATTCCAAGTGGTATGATTAGGTCCATCCTTACCCAAAAAACAGAACAGGTATAGGAACTGAGTCAGCACCTAGATCAGGGCTGCTGGAAGTGGTTGGCAATCTCTCTTCTCTCTCTCCTTCCTCTTTTCTCTCTCCTCACTCTCTTTTTCTCTCGCTGTATGCCACTATCCCCCAGCCTGCAGGGTAGACATATGTCCCATATGCATTACAACATAGCAGAGAGGCCTTTGGAAGCCAACTGTGCTGAGGCTATGGGGACCTGACCCTCTGCTTTGAGTCCTGGAACATGGATCCCTGGTATCACAGTCCAGTCAACTGATAAAATTGGAAGTATACAGACCAAAGCAGTCCAAAAAATCCCGTTGGAAAATTGCCTTCTTCTAGAGGACCTTGTGCCTACTCAGCTAACTAGAGGGCCAGAAAGAAATTTAGCAGGAACTTAGCTATGTTTGTTGGCCTGTCACTCTCCTGGGCTGAGTGAGCTGTGGGCTCAGGTAGCATCTGGAAGACATCCTATACCACAGGCCGGTGGTTAAAAGAGAAGAACACAGAAAACTAGGAAGGAAGCTGAAATGAGTCACAATGGAGCTCAAGAAAGGGAAAGATGGCTCAGTAGTAGACTACGTACCTAACAAACACAAGGCTTTGAGTTTAAATTCCAATGCCAAAAAAAAATTGATTAAATTTTAAAAAGCGAGAGCAAGACAGAAGCAGCAGCAACCTGTCCCCTGCAGCACTTACTACCTCCCTCCTGCTTTCTATTGGGCTGCTGTTCTTCTACCTGGACAGCCAGAGAGCCCCATTTTGCTGACAACTGCCCTCCCCAAGGCTGGAAAGTAATCCTGGTACCCTTTATGTATCTAGTGTGTTCTAAATTCTCTGAATTTATCTGGACTTTATTCTGCAAAAGAGGTGCACCTCTCCCATGTAAAAACCTGATAGTGAAACCACAATATGACCTTCAAAACATGTCCCCTGACCAACCCTCTTAACTCATAACTCCTGCATCACAGTGTTACCTTCAGACCAAGGTGCTGAATTGCCCTCTTACCTCCAACATCGGGACTCAGCTCGGAATCCTTGGACATTGTTGTCCCCTCCAATCAAATACACAAAATTGTTGAGTACTGCTATGCCCTGGTTGGACATGCGGGGAGCCAAGGAGGCTGTGAAGTGCTTCCACTCTCCCACCATGGGGTTCAGATACTTGGCTTGGTCACTGAGGACCGTAGATGGTGTGGAATGAATGCCCCCGAAGCCCACAACGCATTGGAAGTCTGAGCGTAGCTCTGTCTGTGGGCCCTGCAGGCTAGGCTGCAGGCTCTCATTCCGGTGGTACATGAGGGCACTGGCCACTGTGTTCCTCAGTGGGCTGGGGCCCAGCTTGTCATACAGCCGCTGCAGGACCTCAAATTCCATCAGTGGAAACCGTACAGTCTCAAGGAGCTTGGGGGGCTCATGCAGGGAGATCTGGTCAGCCTGCACCTGCTCCAGGGTGTAATGGTAGAGCAGGGCCCCTTCATATACCTCGGTCTCACAGGATACCTCCAGGCGATTGCTGCTGAGGAGGGAATAGACCTTCTCCAGGGGAAGCTGGCGGTATTTGTCAGTCCGTGAGAAGGCCACAAAGTTTTTGAGGATATAGGTGTCCAGCTGATCTGTCAGGCGGCTCAAGTCAAAGAGCTCTGCTAGCCGGTAGACATCGAGGATGTTTTCCTCATCTACCCAGGACATGAGAAAATCACAGCAAAAATGGATAATTTCTGGAATCTGCAAAAGAGGATAGTCATTCAAATCTGGGCTGGAGAAGAGTGTCTGGGAATAAGAGAAAGGATAACAACAATAATATAGCTTATTATTACACAGCTTACACAACTGGGTGGCCTCTGTGCTGGCAAGGAAGGGGGAATTCTCCTCAACCACCCCAAGCCTGTCCTGACACACTACAGCTGACTGGGACTTAAACCTTGCAGACTGACTGGATTTAACCTTAGCTTAGACATGTGGCATATTCTTAAGTCTGTTTCCTTTTCTCCCCACTCCCTTTTTTACATTTTTTTCCTCTCTCAGTTTCCTAATCTATGAAACAGAAATAAAGTAGAAGGACTATGTTGAGAATGAGGCACAGGAACTACCTGGCACAGAGAGACCCTTGATATATGTTAATTGTCCTTTAAATAAAAAGTACTAGCTCCCAGAGAAGCAGGAAACAGCATCAACCATCACTATAACTGACCTCCCTGGTTTGGAAGGGGCCTGGGAATACTCCTTACTCTAACCCTAGGACCTTCTAGAAGAGCCTGTCTCTTCAGAAGTATTGGAACCAAAAATATACCTAGCCTTCTCCTGCCAGACCTCCGTAGCTGAAGCCACATGCCACACACCATCACCAGGCTTCACCAGGTCTGGCTCCATGCCATTAGTCACTCATATGCTCAGAGCTGCAAGCAGGGCGCTACTTAACCAATAAAATCTGGGTATAGTATCAAGTTCTTGTCATCCCAGGTCCAAAGAAGCAGAAACAGGAAGATTACAGTCCAGGCCAGCCCTGGAATAAATCTAGATCATATTTGAATAATAATAAAAGCAAAGTATGGTTCAAGTAGTACAGTGCCTACTTAGCAAGCACAAGGCCCTGAGTTCAGATTTTAGTATCACCCAAAGAAATCTTTTATGTTTTTTTTATATTTTTTTATTTTTTATTTTTTTTTGGGTCCGGTCGTGGGGCCTGAACTCTGGGCCTGGGCGCTGTCCCTCAGCTCTTCAGCTCAAGGCTAGCGCTCTACCACTTGAGCCACAGCACCACATCCTGCTTTTTTTCTTTTTGCTTATGTGGTGCTGAGGAATCGAACCCAGGGCCTCAGGCATGCAAGACAAGCGCTCTACCACTGTGCCACCTTCCCAGCCCCTTTTATGTTTTTTTTTTTAATCGTGAAAATACTGTACAGAGGGGTTACAGTTACATGAGCAAGGCAATGAGTACATTTCTTATCAAGCATTGTTGCCTCCTCCTTTGTTTTTCCCTTACCATCCCTTCCCTCCCATTTCCACAATTACACTCCCCCCCACTCCTAAATTGTAAAGTTCATTGTTCATTGTACATCTCATTGTTATAATGGGTCGACCTGTATCCTTATTTAAACATTTTGTTTTTTCCCTTCCCCTCCCCAAATTATACTAACATCAAATACAATGAAAACAGGGGTTATATTGTGGGGGAGGAACATACAAAGCAACAAAAAAAATCACATGGTACCTTATAAATATGTTAGAAACAATAGCAAGAAAGGAAAAACCACTTGTGTCTCTTAGAGTTCATTTTGCTTAACATCATCTTATCTGGTCATATGTACATAGCTTTTGACCTTTTCTGCTTGTCCCAGACATATGCTAGTTATTACAAATAAGGGAAACTGTAGGACCTATGTTTCTTTGGGCCTGGCTTACTTCACTTAATATAATTTTTTCCAAGTCTTTCCATTTCCTAACAAATACATAAACTGTATAAATGTATAAATTATATAATTTTTCTTAATAGAGACCCAGAAACACAACAAATCAAAGAAAGGTTGGACAAATGGGATTGCATGAAGATGCAGAGCTTCTGCATGGCAAAGGACATAGCTAGCAAAATAAATAGAAAGCCCATGGACTGGAAGAAGATCTTTACTAGCCATACAATGGATAAGGGTCTCATATCTAAAATATACTTGGAACTCAAAAAATTAAATCTCTCAACAACAAATCCTCAAAGGAACAACTGCCCGATAAATAAGTGGGCTAAAGACTTAAAGAGAGTTCCCTGAAGAGGAAATAAGAATGGCCAATAGCCACATGAAGAAATGCTCAACCTCTTTAGCCATAAAAGAAATGCAAATCAAAACAACATTGAGATTCCACCTCACCCCTGCTAGAATGGCTATAATCAAGAACTCTAATAACAACAGATGCTAGAGGGGATGTGGCCAGAAGGGAACCCTACTACATTGTTGGTATGAGTGTAAACTTGTTCAACCACTTTGGAAAGCAGTATGGAGGTTCCTCAAAAGTATCCACATAGAGCTCCTCTATGACCCAGCAATCCCACTTTTGGGCATTTACCCAAATGATAACAAACAAGACCATACTAAAGCTACCAGCACAACTATGTTTATTGCAACATTATTTACCATAGCTAAGATATGGAACCAACCCAGATCCCCTTCAGTAGATGAATGGATCAAGAAAATGTGGTATACACACACACACACACACACACACACACACATATATACAAGAAATCTTTTTTGAAATAACACATTGTATCTCTAACTAAATATGTATAGATATCTTTTTGCCATTATTCCTTAAACAACACAGGGAAACTATTTACATAGCATTTATATTGGATTAGCTATTACAGTAATCCAGAGATGATTTAAAAACTATATATATATATATATATATATATATAAATTTTATATGAGAGACTTGAGCACCCTCAGATTTTGGCATTTACAGAAAGTCCTAGAACCAGTCACCTAACATCCCAAGGGACACTGTGCTGACTTAGCCAGCATCATTAACGAAGTAACCACTGGGAGGCTTAAAATCCATTTTCTTCTTAACACAAAATATATCTCACACCTATAATCCTAGCCACTCAGGAAGCCAGCTGTTTCTCCCGAGATGGCCTCTGCAGCACTGGAGCAGATGGCTTGATACTCTCACAGATAATAGCCAAACCAAAAAGAAAGCCTGTAGGTCTCTAAGCTGATGCTGATGGAAAGGAATGTTGGAAAGATGACTTGGTGTCAGTGTGCATGAATGACACATGGAGAAAGAGGAGAAGGCAGACCAACTGAGAGGCAGAAATGGAAAAATGGGAACCAAGACAAAGAAGAAGGAAAAGGAAATGGAGAGTAGAGACATCTACAAACAAGACTGGAGAGGATGATTTGTCCAAACTTAGATATAGGGAATGGTAGAAGGGCTTAAGGAGCCTGAGGTACTGAGCCTAGGGCATTAGTAGAATGGTTTCAGGACAGGAAGACTGAGGGAAGAGTGGTAGGCCTGGAAGATGAGATGGAGGGCAAACTTCAACTGCACTGGGGAGATGTTCTGCAGTAGCTAAGGAGAGGCAGCACCAGGAGGCCTGAGAACTGGGTAAGGGTCCCAAAGTGACAATTATAGGGAGGTTGGAACAGAAAAGATCATTTCTGAACCAAGAACATGGAAAACCTTTTGTTATAAAGCCTGTCCTGACTCAATGCCATCCACCCCTCAAGCAAGTACAAGGCCAGTTGTGCTCAGACTAACTCAACAAACACATTACTGGAACCTGTAAACAGGACACAGGGCTATGGCCCTGTGCTAAATGGTGCCTCCAGACATCCCCCAAATAGGTTTTCCTATGACTTGAGTCATAGCATGATTGCATGAAATCATCTGAGGAAAAAAGTTAGAATGGTGAACAACTCAGTATAGCATTTCCTTTCACTTTCAAGGAAAGGGAGAAGAGGTAACTCAACCTAGACTAGGTCTCTGGTTGACAGCTCAAAAGCACTAGCAGGCCTAGCTTTCAGTGACTGTACCCACACTATTAAGATTCAACAACTTCCAAAACCAAAATACCACTAATGCTCAAAAAAACCTTTTGACTTGTTAAAGACAAGTATTTAAAAAGAAGACTGTTTTAAAAAGATAGGCCCTATCTGGTGAGGCATGGCTATAATCCAAATACTTAGAAGGCTGAGGCAGGAAGATTGTGATTTTAAAGCCAATGTAGATCTGGTGCCAGTAGCTCACGCCTATAATCCTAGCTGAGGATCTCAGGAGGCTGAGATCTGAGGATCGTGATTCGAAGCTAGCCCAGATAGGAAAGTCCATGAGACTCTTATTTCCAACTAACCACCAGAAAACCAGAAGTGGAACTGTGGCTCAAGTGGTAAAGCACTGGCCTTGAGCTGAAGAGCTGAGGGCCAGCGCCCAGGCCCCGAGTTCAAGCCCCACAGCCAACAAAAAATAAAAAGAAAAGAAAAAGCCAATGTAGATATCATAGTAAGACTGTTTCAAAAACAGAAAGAGGGGAGTGGCCAAACAGAGTAAACAGAAAGGGCCTGCATGCCATGCAGGTCTTAGAGAGGGTCACCACTGCCAGACACCACAGCACATAGCTCTCTCAAAGAAGCCCACAGTCAGTCCATTTGTCTCTTATCTCTGGATTTTCTTTTCTGGCAGAGAAACCAGGCCAGAAGGACACAACAAGAGTAAAGGGTGGAGGCAAAAGAGGGAGGTTGGCCAGGGGTACTGGGAGCTGCTCTGCTTTAGCTCCCAGGCTAGAAAGGCACCCTCCCCACTTCACAGCCTCCTTCTGTTTGGCATCCTGGTCTTCTTGACCTACCCCATACCACTGCAACTGCTCGTGAACAGCAAAGGTATACAAAAGCCCTCCAAGGAATGGGTCTGCCTTGCTTAATGAGGCAAGCCTTACCTGAAGCTGGCAGGCAGCAACCAGAGTTTCCTGCACGTTGCTCAGGTTGAGCTCTAGCTCAGAGGTGTATATGAAGTGCAGAATTTGGCACATGGCATTGTAGGACACACCATGGATCAGGACCTCTTCCTGCTCCATCTCCTTCAATCCCCCAGCAAACATCCCTCTGCAAAGCAAAGAGACAAGGCAGTGGGATTACACCAGTCTAAGACATTCGGAGAAGATTAAGTGTAGGTAGCAAGGCTGGCAGGGGAATAGACTGGCTGGAAGTATGCCTGATGGAATGCTGACTGCTCTGTGCTCTGAGTAAATCAGCCTATGGAAAGAGTCTGACCAAGCCTGGGCAACCATTCTAGAAGTTGCCTGTCTACTTTTCATGGGCTCCATATGTACCCTATGAAGCCAGACCAATGCTCAGCTTGCTTGCTGCTTCATGCACAGGAACAGCTCCCAGGTCAGTAGCCAGCAACTCCAGAGTATGTTAGAAATAATATGTTAATTAATGGGAAACAAGGAACAAATCTCATCCTGGCAACCATCATTTATTTGAGGACCTCCTACTGCCAGGCAGGAAAAGTCATCCGAGGTGAGGAGACAGGTGTACAGATCGCAGGGCAAAGAACTTGGCACTTAAGACACCCAAAACAGGAGGACATAAGCAGAAAGTGAGATAGAGCTAGGCAAGTGAGGGTAGGCCCTCCTGCCTCTAGTTCAGTATAGTATAAGCACTGAAATCCCAACGGGAATCTGCTGCAGGGACTTTTACAGAGTAGCCAGAGCTGATGGTTTGTTGGACTAGAAGAGAAGGCTGGAGAGAGGGCTGGAGAAGGGGCAGGAAAAGCAGTTATATGGGAGTGACCCAACTGTTCTTATGGGTGAACCTGGTGCTAGGGAGGACAGTGTGGCTGTAGAGGTGCAGCTGAGACAATCTTGAGGCAAAGAGAGAGCACCTGTTAACACAGTGATTCCACAGGATAGGTGTGCTCTGCTGGACAGGGGGAGATTCAGAAGAAACTGATGTAGACAGGACAGTTGGGAGTTGTGTTATGGCATAGCCAGTATGAGACATCTGTGAAACATTGACAAAGTGGAGGCACTGACTAGGAATTATGAGGTAAGGAAGGGCAGGTGACCAGGGCTGAAGGTTTATTTCATTATTACTATATGGTGCTGGGGTGGAACCCAGGGCCTCAATCTTGTATTCTACTTCTAAGCTATACCTCCAACCCCAGGTTAACACCAAAGATTAAAATGACTGCCAGCAACTTGGAGATGTCAAAGTGCTATTTGTACATTTTACTTGTGTTTTGACCAGGTAACATGCATGTTACAAGATTTAAAATTCACAAAAGGCTGTGGTAGAAATGCTGATAACTCAAATCCAAACATTGTCAGTTCCCTCCCAAGGCAGTACCCCTTCATAGGGGCAGCTGTGTTCTGCTCTTTATTTTTGTTAATACTTGACAGCACATCTTGGAAGCACATCTAGCTGTACATAGTTTGTCTTTCTTGCAAAGGCTGTCAGAATTTGTTTAACCCTCTCTTCTTGGGGGTACACTCAGTTTACTAATGTCTTCTTATCACACACTCACTCCCAGAATATACTATCTATACCTGGTAGGTTTAATTCCTATTAATGCAGCCACTGTGTTAAAAAGAGTTGACACATTCACACAAAATGGTGTTGCCCACATGCTCTCCTTACACACTGAAAACAGGACCTGCCTCCAACCCCAGCCTCATAATCCAGAAAGGTAACTGGCTGTGACTCTATCACTATGATGGGAAAAAACCTTATTAGGAATGGGATAAAAAAAAAATCTCATCATAGCCAGGCGCTGGTGGCTCACACCTGTAATCCTAGCTACTTAGGAGGCTGAGATCTGAGGATCACAGTTCAAAGCCAGCCCGGGTAGGAAAGTCCATGAAACTTTTATCTCCAATAAACCACCAGAAAAACAGAAGTGGCGCTGTAGCTCAAAGTGGTAGAGCACTAGCCTGGAGCTGAAGAGCTGAGGGACAGCATTGAGGCCCAGAGTTCAAGCCCTACGACCGACAAAAACAAAAA